AGGACTGGGGGGCCTGGCTCGGGGGTAGGGATGGGTGCATTCACAGTTAATGTGTGGCCCCAAACAGGAGGGAGTGGTGTAACTTTTGCTTAGCAACTTTGATCTCCCTTTTTATTTTTTAAACAGAATTTTTTCCTAGTGTTTTTTTGGGGGGGGGTGGTCAGTATTTTTTGTTAAACCATCTGGCAACCCTACCTGCCCCATTGCCACTGAATGCTGCCTTTTCCTCATGTCCACTGCAGCTTTTCATGGGAATGCTCATTTTGCTCCCAGTCCTGGGTCCTAACAATAGCTGCCAACCCCTATCCTCCAAGGTGCATTAACCTGCAGCTACTCCTGGCTCTTCTCCCTCCTTCCAACAGAGCGACAAGGTGACCATTGTGGACCACCACTCGGCCACAGAGTCCTTCATCAAGCACATGGAGAACGAGTACCGCTGTCGTGGAGGCTGCCCTGCCGACTGGGTGTGGATCATCCCCCCGATGTCCGGCAGCATCACCCCCGTCTTCCACCAGGAAATGCTCAATTACCGGCTCACTCCCTCCTTCGAGTACCAGGTACCATCTGTAGCCAGGCTTCTGCCAGTGCGTCATACCCTGCCCCTTGCATGTGAGGGTACCATGATGGGCAGGTGCAGCAGGAACTGGGCCTCCACCACCTAGGGATGAGTTCTGTATCCAACAGCTGACTCTGCAAGGCGGGTGGTGCTGGTTAACAAGCCTGACTGTTACAAGGCATGAAGGTATAATCCGAGTCAGGCTTGCAAACCCTCTGTGTGAGTTGCTCCCCTTTCCCCAGGGAGGATGGCTCTTTGCATTTCTGCCAGAGCCCAGAGAATTGTCTCAGGCCCATCCTGAACCCTTCATCCCAAGCCCTTCCTTTAGCCCACATGCCATGGGGGAGAATGCACTCACTCCAGACTGGCCACCTCTTGTGAACTGGAGCAAGCTGCTCCTGCCAGAATGGGGATGGAAAACCTGACTCCGCTCTCTGGATGGCAGTTCAGAGCATGAGTCCTTCAGCCAGCATAACCTCAACCACCAAATGTCTGTGCTCCTGCGGCTTCCATTCAGTGTGCCCTTTAGCTAGCGTCCTAAGAAATAATCTACAGAAGGGACCCTCTTTTCGGCGAGGTTATCCATCTACTCCCAGCTCGACTGTGAATCCTCTTTCATAGCCTCCATCCCTTCTCGGGGCCCGAAGGAAAAATGGAGGGGTACATTCCTGGATCTCCCTGCTCATTAGCTATCAGGGCTCACTGGGATGGTTTCACTTCTGGGAGGCAAAAAGGGCATGGTCCTCAACCATATTATTCCAAGCCGGCAGGGCTCTCACTGTCAGCATGTTGAAACCCTGGTGCACCCAGTTTCCATGGATATGCATATGGGGCATCCGCGGAAAGAGCTTCCACTCAAAACTTAAGTAGCTGGGTTGGGGGGGGGGGGGG